GAGGGAGGGAGGGAGAAAGAGAGACAGGGTCTCGCTGTGCAGTTCAGGCTAGCCTTGAACTCACTACGTAGGCGAGGCTGGACTCTAGCTCATCCTTCTGCCTCAGCCTCCTGAGTGCTGGGATTACAGGCGTACACCACCACGCCCAGCAGCTCTGCATTCTTGTTTAACTTTTCCCGGGTGAGTTGCTTCTTGTGTCCTATTTCTGCTCCCTTCTATAATCACCACCCTCTGGCAATGTGGGATTGCCCACTTATGCCTGTTACTGTTGCAGTGGTGCTTAGGAACTAGCCTCAAGATTGAGAGAGAGCATTAATAGATTATAAAAATAGTTGTTGAAGAAAATCTAGGGGTGTCTGATTTTTAAAGTTGCATCTTACAAGTGCATGCTAGAGTTGTAGGGGAATCACTTCTCAGCCTTTTGGCTAAGATCGTGTAGCATTGTAGGGGATGGAAGCCTGTTAACTGCAAAGGTCTCCATCCTTACTGTTGTCAGCTGTATCTGCTGTTGTGTTTTGTGAATATAAAGGACTGGGAGGGGTCTGTTGTGTGTGCACTTGGCTTTGTTTGCCAAAACACACACTCCAATACTGAAATAGGCCCTTGTACCCAGCCGGGATTGTAAAGACGGCCGTTCTCAAGAAACAGTGAACTTAAATGATTTCTGAGGATGAGTGGTGGTTGAATAGTATGAACCTGATGTTTTATTATTCTTTAGTGTTCATAACATAGTGCTGAGGAACTTGGAAATGGCACAGGCACTGTTGGGCAGAATTTTTGAACTAGAGGGAGATAGTAAATATATGTATATATATATATATATTTTTTTTTTCCTCCCCCCCATAATGTTCTTATTGGAACCTGTCTCCCTTTTTTTAAAAAAAATAGAAGCATGGTTGGGTAGGTGAGTGTAGGAAGGAATGGGAACTCTTATATTGTTTCTTTTTTATATTATCAACAGCATGTCTCCTCCATAAGATAATTAAATACTGCAAGAAATTTTCTGGCTTGCCCACACAGTTGGGAGTTTTAGAATTGTATATGTTTCTAATTAAGTGTTGGGGGCCTGGAATTAGTTTGATTTGTTCTTTATTGAGTCAAAAAGACCTAATCACAATTTCTCAGTAATGCCAACACAGCAACAGTAATCAGACCTTTCCCAGTGTTGTGCAGAGGTACAAGCTATTCATCTATTCTTGGTACTAAAATTTAGTTGTACAAAAAAGATCAATTTCACTTTTTTAAACATATGCTGTAAAAAAGGCTTAAAAAGTAGAGGTAATTTAAGAGAATATTTATACATTGTGTGGTGCTATTCAGAGAAGTAACGGACAGTGAATGCTTATTAAATGCCTACGAATGTTGATGACTTCCCGTAATGGTGGAGGAGCCGCACGTTGGTGTGTGGTTATCTTCAGGGGTTCCAGAGGAGATCTGACAACAGTATGTTGAGTTTGTAAAGGATCGCTTTCAGTGAACTGGAGCAGTAATCTTGGAGTAACATCATTCACACTGATTTCACTTATAAATTCTCTCTCAGAATACAGTGAAGTGTGGCGGGGAGGGTCACCACCTCCTTTCCAGGCTATACTTGCTTCAGTCCTACCACCTTCCCAGTCTTTCTAGCCTGAGCTCACGTGCCGTTTGTAACCTTCTCCAGGCTATTATAACACAGCCTTAAGGAGGAGCCTCCCTTCTCCAGGACCCAAGGAGCTCTGCTGTGATAGGCATTTTCACATTCCACCCACCTCATCCTTGAGCTTTCTCTAAGACTCAGGTATATTTCCTTCTGGCTCATTTCCTGGGGATATATTCCTTGGAACTAGCATATAAAAATATTGGAACTCTTTATAGATCTAGCGGCACATTGCCTGAATGATCTTCAGAAAACTTGGAACAATTAAAAGTGTCATTAGTAGTGATAAGTAGGACCTGCTTTCCCACATTCTTGACAGTGTTGGGATCCTTATTTACATGCTAGTTTGTGGTGCTGAATGAGAAGTCGGTTTTTTGTTGTTTCTGCTGCTTTGTGCTTCTGACAGCTCTTTGTTTTATTTTTTATTTTTATTTTTTAGACGTAGTCTCACTATGTAGTTCAGGTTGCCCTTGAACTCACTATGTAACCCAGGCTGGCCTCAAACTCAGGCAATCCTCCTGCCACAGCCTCCCAAGTGCTGGGATTACAGGCGTGTACCACCATGCCTGGCTTGTATTAAGTCTTTATGTATTGAAAAGTAATTTTTCTAGGCATTGGTGTAATTGTTTTGTATTTTTAAGTGATTCCATTTTGTTGAGCAGAATTTTATTTGAGCATGTATGTTTTATTATTGATAATACTCTTATTAGCTGGAATTTTTTTCTAAACTTTGTACATTTCAGAGTTTGTCTTAATTTGTGATGGTTGAAAATGTCAGTTTTCTGGGTCTGAGAATTTTAAGTTGAGAGATAAGAGATAAACTTGTACTAGCATAACTTACCCAGAACTGGCTCCACTGTAATGAAACTTAGGAGAGAATATTCTTTTAAGTTCTACCCATTGTAATTCAGAGCACTTACCATTTCCCAGGCACTGATAACTTTCTGAGTGAATAATTGCTGGTGAATAATTGCTTTATCTAATACTAACCCTTACAGTGATCCTTAGAAGCATCATTTACTAGCAGAACATTCCCTTTCCTGATCTGCCCTCCTGCACCTTGCCCACTTTTCAGCTTTGAACCTCCTTGGCTGCTGTGCACTTTTGCAAACTGTAGGTAGTCTTTAGGGAGAATCTTGACATTTTATGGCCCCTTTTATAGAAAACGCCTTCAAACTCTTAGAGAAAAAAACAAAAATTGATGGACATTAAAATGATGTACTGTAATTCATTCATTCATCCTGTGGTACCAAGGATGATTAGAATGACAAATCATTTACTTTTCTGTTTATATCAAACATGCCAGTTCCTGTTAGGGCTCTCTCACTTTTAATTCTTTTTCAGTTAAAAAAAAAGATGTGTTATATACATGTACCAACTTCCTATAGTGAATGTAATTGTTATATATGCCAAATGCACTATAAAAATAGAAATAAAATTTTGTTATAAATTTACAAATGATGCTTGTTTATATTTATGTGATAAAAGATGATGTTAGGATTTATGAATATAGAGTAGGATAATTAAATCAAGCTAATTAACATCACTTTAACCTTAAAGCTCTACTTAATCCCTATATATCACATTTATTTGGATATAAGCAATAATTATAAAACTGAAAGATAATTATGTGCCTCTGGGATAATTTCTTGGGTGCTTAGTGCTCTGGGTGTGTGTAGGATATCCAGGAAACCAAAATAAACCAAAAGTTTGAGGTACTATCTACATCTAGCCTGGAATCAGAAGCCAAGATTCTTTGATCCCTCCATTGTTAGTATAAGGAAGGTGAGAATTTCATACCTGAGGCAGTATGTGTAGTTAGTGATTGAGGCAGTCCCAAGACCTGGGTTTCGTCTCTCTAGAATGCTCCATTGCATCCTAAAGCTAGCTGGGCTCTTATGGTCTTCACAAGTCATTATTTGGTACAACTTCAGTGTCTTGAAAGGCATTGTGGTTGGAGTGGAGATGGTGCTACGGGGGTGGGGGGGGCGATGTAGTTCCCAACCTACTAGATGTCAAGTACACTGAGTTTGTGTTCCCCAAACTTGAAGAATGAATTTTAAGGAACAACAGAGGTCAAGAATAGGGAAAATTTTATTGAGATAGCTCCTCATGGACAGAAAGTAACTTGAAAGTGGGTTCCCATTGAGACCCTTTGTCAAAGTCACAGTGTGGGTACAATGTGGGTCAAACTGTTGTCAACCTATAGGATTACAAGGAAAGCTGCTTAGCTAATAATGGTTAGGGAAATGGGTTACATAGCAAGGATACATGGAAAAAACAAAGACTCTTTAAGGAAGGGATGGATCAGGAGATCCTGGTCACCCACTTGGGTGACTGCTGTCTATCTAGACTTTATTGGGCCAAGTGAGTATAATCTTCAGTTTATTGCTTATCCCCCAGAAAAGCATGTAGCCCTGGTCATTACATCTTTATCTTGAGGCCTGGCCTTTGACAGATGTCCCTCCAGCCATAATTGTATTCTCATCTTCTCCACTGACTCCCTCCAGGGTCTAGCCTTGTCTGGCTGCCTATATTTCTGCCTAACATAGCTGTCTATAATAATGGGAGTTTCAGTCTTGAGTAGAATAAATTCTGTCATGTAAAAAAACCATAAAATATTATAATGGATTTATTTCATTATGTAATATATTCACATGGTTTAAAACATAAAATAATACAGGAGAGCTTATAATGTAATGTAAGTGACCGCCACCTTAGCACCAACTCCTGGTTGAGAGAATACTTTGAACCCCTCTTACATCTCTTGTTGTCTATATTTTTGTATTTCCATTTTATCACAATAATTTGTCCATTGTAAATGTTATTTGTTGTTTTTCTTCCAGAAGGGATAAGGACTTACTTTATTGTCATTCTTTTTACCCATTTCTTTGGGTTTTTTGAGACACGGTCTCGCTATGGAGTGCAGGCTGGCCTTGAACTCACTTATGTAGCCCAACTTGGCCTCCAACTGTCAGCAACCCTCCTACCTCGGCCTCCCGAATGCTGGGATTATAGGCATGCACCACCACACCCATCTTCTTCTCATTTCTCTCAATAAATTAATGCTGTTATTTTTGATTCCCTTTGTTTTGGGCAGTGCTGGGGATTGAACCCAGGGACTCATGCATGTTAGTCATATACTTTCCTGCTAAGCTATCTCCCTAACCATGGTCTGGTCTGGTCTGGTCTGATTGGGTAGGATTGTGACTGCACTTAAGAGTTCTGGGGGTTGTTGGACATAAAAGTTCTGTAGAAGTAATCATCTATTTTTTGTGTGTGTATGTGGTGGTTTATCTGGGGTTAACCTAAAATGTATTATTTCAGGTTTTATCATGATCTTTTCCTTTTTCATGTTTTACAGAAATAAGTATCTTCCTTGAATTGATGAAAATGAAAATACAGAAGAAAGAGAAGCAGGTAATTGGCCTCATTTCTTTGAAGCAAACACATCCAGTGTACCTGGTGCTCTTCTAACAGGAGGTGACACTGGCAGTGTTGGCTCATATCTTAACCTCTGCTCAGTCCCTGTTGCCTTTGTCTTTCACTCGCCATGTGATAATAGTGCTCTGTTCTGAACAGCTTAATGTGTAGATTTTTCCTTTTGCCTAGGTTATCTCCTTATAAGAATAATATAATGAAAACTATAAATTAAAACATTATTCAGAATTACCTGTAGAAGAGAAATGCTTCCTTTCTTGGAATAGCTTCCCAAGTTTTTTCTGAGGATTGTAGCCCAGTCTTTACATTTTGATCATTTTGGATATTTAAATAAATAAAAGAATTCATCATTTATGAAATTCTTACTTAGTGATTCATGGAGGATTTTCCTAGAGGGAATAGTTTTCCCAAAAGAATGTGAGTACCAACTGTTTGGCATTTGGTCTCTTGAAAGGGAAGGGGCTCATACTAATTTTGGCCTGTGTGACTCGCCCCAAATCTCTTCCCTTAGTGGGTACTTTTGTGCCCCAGGTGGTTTTTTTTCTTTTTTCTTGTTTTTTTTTTTTTTTTTTTTTTAAAAGAGTAAGAGAAGGATAACAATAGTGGGGGGGGCTTACCAAATTACAGACAAAGTGGTAGGAAATTATCAATGGTTATTGTTTTATATATCGTTATCTACAAGATAGTTTCTCAGGAAAACAAATAGACAAATAATAGTGAGTTACAGATAAAAGAGGTAGGAGATTATCAATAGTTGTTGTACTCTACTTAGGTATCTTCAAAAGAAAATAAATAGAACTATACATGAGTGACCTATTGAATAATCATTAACTATTCTCAATGGTTGTTGTAGGAAACACATAATAATAAACATGCACCCATTTATGAAATAGAATAGGAACAATACAAACATTACAGAGTTATGGATAGATTAGTAGGAAAATATCAGTGACTGCTGTAATACATGTTGGTATCTTAGAAGTGGTTTCTCAGGAAGACAGAGATACGCAAGAAGGATCTAACAAGTAGTTACAGCCTAAGGGTTGTCAAAATTCAAGTGAGCCGTCTAGGGCCAAAGCCATTTTTTGTAGCGTTTTCTCTCCAGCCTCCCATCGCATTGGGACCCCACAACCAGTTAGTGTCCTCTCCCCAACTGTCAGCACAGGCAGCAGGAATCCTGTTGCAGACTTCTCTGGGGCTCCTCCACAGCCTGTACTGTCAGGGGAAGAATGGCTTCCACGGAGTCTCTGCAGGTATTGTGCAAGGTCCTCCTGGTTTACAGCTTCCGAGCGGCTCTCATGACCCCAGTCCACAGGACCTCTGACCCCTTGGGCTTAGTCTGCATTCTCATGTTCTCCGAGTCCTTGTTCAGCAGCTGCTCCTCTGCTGACTCTAGACCTTTCTGCTTCTCAATGGCAGGAGCAAGAGTGGCCCGTTGTATAGCATGTATTCCCAGGGGTTTTTCCATGTTTGAATGATTCACACAGGTCCTTAAGGGGGCATCTGCATCTGGTGCATGGTAGGCCAATTGTGTCATTGTTTCTCTGTGTCATGATAGTTCTCAATTGAGCAGCGGTGGCCTGCCTGAAGGCCAGCACGCCACAGCGCTCTCGGCTGCATGGCTCCCCGTGTGCCGGGGGCCCTCCCTCCAGGGGCCTACGAGGCAGGAAGTGAGCCAGCCGGAAGACAGACGCTCACCATCCATGGCTCCCTGTGCGGCGGAGGCCCTCCGGGGGCCTACGAGGCAGGGAGCAAGCTGCCAGTTAAAAGACCGGCACTTCCCGCCCGTAGCTCCCCGTGCGCTGGGGGCCCTCCCTCCGGAGCCCAGGTGGTTTTATATTGAAAGAGACCATGAAACTTCAATCTGTGTAGCTCAGGCAAGGGAGATGTAGAGATCTGCCTCTACTCTAATGAGTTAGTTATCAGCTGGTAGATAAGCACTACAGAGAACACAGTTTCCTCTGCTGGGAATTTATCCTATGGATAGACTTAGACAGGTATGGGAAAGTTATGTGTATAAGGGCTTCTATTACTGTTGCCGTTATGGTAGCAGAAATGGAAAAGAACCTACATATCCATCAAAAAGGGGGCTATTTAGATCATATTACATCCCTCTAGAGGAGCAGTATGCTGCTAATATAGTGCTAAAAAGAATATATTACTGAAGAGGCCCCAAACCTCAAAACTGTCATCATGTGTGGGCAGGTTTATAGTTCCTGAAGCAGTTTGCATATTTTAATTTTTAAGCTCTTACAAGCTCCTTAAGGTGAGCTTTTATTTAAATAAAAACATTATATAGAAATTACTGCAAAATAAATTCTCATATCTTTTGTGATTTTATTGGCTAATATTAAGCCCTTTAGTGTCAGCCTCAGCTGGGTTTTCCTTTTAGACACCATAGTAATATTAGTGAGCAGACTAAAACCTTTAGTTAAAAGTAAATATTAGCTATGGCAGAAGAGCAGGTTAAATAAGTAGAGCCACTTTCAGGAGTTGTCATATGGGTGACTGAACTTTAAGAAGTTGCAGGGCATGAAAATAGAAAACTACATTAGAGCTAAAGCAGCGTATGAGCTCCAGGACTGAACGTGAGCCACCGAGTTCAGTGCCAGACAGGGAAGAGGTGTTACTCTGGAGAGAACTTGGGCTTTGGTTTCCGTGGAATAGGATCGAAACCTCCACTTCGTCACTTTGGGCAAGTTCATTCTCAGTTTTCTGTCACTTACATGAGCATCATATGTGCTTCGCATTGTAGAAAGGAATTAATGAGGTGGTTTGTCAGGTACTTAACATTCAGTATAAGTCAGTGGCAATGGAAGTCTTCAGTATATCAATAAAAGTGCCATCAAGCTTTTTTTTCTTGCAATGATTCTATAGTGTTATAAGTAGCAGCAAATAAAACATCTGCTCTTTAAAAACTTTTGTTCCTCTTAATTCATTTCTTTCTCTTTGGAGAAAAATGACATGTTAATACATTTTGATGTTCAGAATTCTTCATTTCATTGTTTAAAATCTTACCAAGTTAAATTAAACTGAGATGACAGATTTCATGAGTTAATCAAAACTCAGTAAATAATTATGCTTATTAACCAAAAAGGTACTTACAGAAGTAGAGTACAAAGAACAAAGGGTTTAGAGACTGACTGGTATTGCCTAAGGAAGTGTTGTACGAAAAATACTTAATAAGACACGTAAAATGAATCAACTATATTAAAAAATAAACTGCCTCTAAGAAATGTATATATTTTAATTTCTAAGATGATTATGTAGTATTAGGCAGAAAAAATTAAATAACTAAAATGTGAATTCTAATCATTGAAAACCCATGTGGCACTATTTAACATATAATTACAACTGAAAATACATCTTTTTGTAAAGCAATATCCTCACATTGACAATGACAAACCCGTGATATAAGAATATTGATTTTGGTTCATCTCTGCTTCTTGCTTAGTATGTAGAAAAGTATAAACTGTGATACTTAGGAGATATATAACTTATGATATGGTCAATAGCACTTGTAATCTTAAAGGTAGGAGGTGCATAAACCCCATGTACAGCAATGAATACAATAGAAGAATGTACTAGTACTGAATGGAATTAAAACTTGGAATATAACCAGGAGGGAACCTAGTCTTCAGTAACTATGGGAGAACCTTGCTTCCATGACCAAGAGTCAGGTAAGCACAGCTTTCAGTTTTAAGTCTTCTGGGAAATACAAAGAGAGGTGGAAGAGTTTTCTTCATATATGCTGTGGAATCTTAAGACCTTCTGACTGTCAGACCTTGTTTCCCTCCCCAGAGTGAATATAGGCATAATTTATTTACTGAACAGGTATTTGTTGAGTTTTTCAGCATTTATTCATGCAAGAAGTACTTGAGTTCTAGTTGAGGCTAGGCTCAGCAATAACTAGAAAATTTGTTTAAGAAATTTGTAGACTGGGTAGAAAGGGGCAGTGAAAGTATAGGGGCTGGCATATACCTCAGAAGAGGCAGGCTTTTCCATTGCAAGTAGAGGAGTAATTCTCTGGAGTTGGAGAGTGTGGAGGATAGGAAATGTTGGCTTCACCAAAGACTCTTGAGAGTATTTTAGAAGGGGTGATACTTCCTGGGGAGAGTCACATTGCTTTAGAGGACTCAGGACAAAAGGGGTGGGAAGGAAGAGGGAATAAATGGGTAGGTTCAGAAAGAAGAAGCCCTTGGTAGAAGAGGAGGAGGGAAAGGCCTGGCATGGGTGGTGACTAGAGATGAACCAGAATAAAGAAGCATGGTCACCTAGCTGGCTGCCAAGTTTCCCAGGCAGTTGGTCCCATCCGACCTCTCCCGGGGGAGGTAAGGACTCACATGTGTAGGAAGATGCTTACCCACCAATGTGGATTACTGAATCGTGAACCACAATTCAGAACAGTAGAAGAGGAAGAATAGCAGTGTTGATAATATAGATGAGTAAACCATTCATTTCTAAGACTTTTCAGTCTTATGCTAGAGAGGGTGGGTTTCAGGGCTGACAGTTGTTAGACCTTCAGTTGGTTGTCATTGATATAAAGAGGAATAGTTAATAATTTTCCAGTAGAACCAAAATTAAAATATTCTCACACTGCAGTCATGTTTCAAAAGGACCTAAAATGGACCTTACCTGACTCTTCCCCCCTTAAAAAAGATAGAGAGAAGGAGGAGGACAGGACAGGACAGGACAAGAGAGGACAGGAGAGGAGAGGACAGGAGAGGACAGGGACCTTAATGTTAAATGCTTTACTTACTTTTTTTTTCTGTACTAGAAATTGAACCAATGCCTTTACTTCCCCTTTTTATTTTTTATTTTGAGATTGGATCTCACTAAGTTGCTAAATTACCCAGGATGGGCTCATATTTGCCGTCCTTCGGTCACAGCCTCCCAGAATTCTGGGATTGCAGGCATGCACCACCACATCTGGCTCCCCTAACTTTTAACACACCCTAACAGATTCTTTTTTCACCAAT